TTATTGTTTTCTTGAAGTCCATTTTTTGGCACCTTGGTTCCAGACAAAGTATGGAGGATAATCCTGATAAGGTATGTGACAACCTTCAGGGTGATCTTTATTAGCAGTGAACCATTCTGTGAGTTGAGTCTTTGATGTACGGTTGTTATTGATAATATTCTCTGCATCATCATGGGCATTGAAGAATACAGTTTGCTGATCCACTAAGTGAACAGGAAGGCGCAATACCATTGGTTTTTCTTCATGCATTGGGAACTCCAAGAAATGCTAGCATGCTTTCACCTGACCAATATAGCGACCATCAATGTATGTGTTCCTTAATCTCATCTCTTGGCTGCCTTGCATCTTCATGCACAATTCCTACATCTGCACCTTGTCTGTTAAATCCCTACAACTTTTGCCGAACTAACGGAGGTGTAAGTCTCAAATCAGACAAGTAGTGTCAAGTATCAATATAAAGAAGTAATCAACAACTGAGGAAATGTATGTACATGGGTGTTGGTATATATACATTTTCTGAAGGTCAGCCATGAGGCGCTGACTGATGTTGTGCATCATAGTCTAGGCTTTGTCACGTGATTGTTATGTGATCAGATATAATTAAATAATGAATCAAAAGAAAATAAAGGTTTGACTCGGATCGTGACGTTGTCCTCCCACCACAATTGAAGCTCAATCATGGCCCTTGTCAATATATTTATGAATATATTTGACACCTTTAACAGATGCACAGATTTCAACTTTGATGTGACAGTCATATTTGGTAGAGAGATATGTATTGTAAGGGACAACATCACAATTATCAAAAACATGACCACTTGGAGCTGTATAAGTCCTCCCATTATCAGGCCTTGCATATTCTGGATAACTATCATCACCAAATCTGGTTTCAGCACAAAAGTCTTTGCAATAGCGCTTTGAGCATGCTCTATTCTTCATGCACTGGGGTCCAGGGTGTTCAGGTCCACACGGACTGTGCATTATACACTTTGTGACCTTTGGTTATGTGACAGGATCAGGAATTTGAGCAGAGACAACAGAATCAACCTGGGTGGCATCACAGATTTTATATTAATCTTCCAAAGATATAAGAAGATGCATGTGTGGCAAACCCCGCTTTTGGTATTCCATAGTGTAAACAGATCCCAAAGTCAAGTCTTTCCAAAGATCCCATCTTTAACTTTCTTCAGCAGTGCCCTTTGTTTCTAATAGAAGATACGTGCAACAATGTCAGGACAGTCTGCAGTAGTCTGTTTTCTTGTAGGCATATTGGGGTCATCATCTACTTCACCGGCATTGTTATATTCCAGCAAAGCCTCTTAAATTTGAAGCCAGTTGGTGTTTTCTGTTATTGTAAGGAAAATATTGGGTTTACAGCAGTGATAAGATATAGCCATGGAGTCCTGGAAGAGCTAGTACATGTGCCACGTACTACAAGAATGAGAAGATGGTAGGACAATATTTTGACCCAGTTGACCTAAATCTATTTCCCCATCATTTTGATCCATAGCATCTTTAACACCTTGGTAAAGATCTGCCTTTATGTCTTTTTGATGATGATGGACCCACTTCAATTCACTTTTTTCTGTGGATGCCCATGCATCAATGCAATACACCTGAAGTAGCTTTCCACCATAGAAGAGATTAGATTGATCGGTTCTCCAGGGATGGAGACAGTATGCATAATAACACCACTGGGAGACATATTTGCTGCATATATTTCCATCAGCATTTTGAATGGACCGTATTGTCATATGCTTGAGTTACATTGTCAAATGGGACACATATCACATAACTCCCTAAAACATCTCATAAATTCTAGCTCAGCCGAAGGCATAAACCTTAACACATCCAAAAAAGCAGTTTTCTGTGAACCATGCATACATGCTAAGGCTACCCGAACACCATTTCCTAAAATCAGTCAAACCCGAGCTAAAACCTATGGTGAAAGAATTCACTCAGATGTTTGGGGCCCAGCTGCAGTTCAAGATATCAAAGGAAAATGTTACATGTTAACGTTTACTGATGATTACACCAGAAAAACCCACCTTTGCTTGCTAGTGACAAAGGACGAGGTTATCTCCATGTACAAGAAATTTGAAGCCTGGCTGAACATTCAAAAGAACCAAGCTAAGATTAGAATCTTGAGATCTGATCAAGGCGGCAAATACACCAGCACAGATTTTGTAGAACATCTGCAAAAACAAGGGACAGTCAGAGAGTTAATAATCCATGACTTACCTGAGCAGAATGATGTATCCAAACGATTAAACTGCACACTTGTTGAATCAGCCTGAGCAATGCTACTAGACGCGAGTCTACCTAACAATTTATGGGGAAAAGCATTCAGGCACACAGTATGGATCAAAAATAGGGCACCTACAAAGGCCATAGCTGGCAAAACGCCCTATGAGATGGTCCATGGATCAAAGCCAGACCTTCAAGGCATCCACAAATTTGGATGTACTGCCTACGTGAAGGTTATTGGCACGGGAAAGCTCAAAGTGCATGCAAGAGCTGGGAAATAGGCCGGATTTGATAGTGAGTCCGAAGCTCACAGGATCTATTGGCCAGAGTGATGTACCATTTTGGTAGAACGTGACATTGCATTCAACCTGGACAAGCGACTTGCCCCTGCTAGCCACCTTGACAATTATTTAATCTTTGACGATCGATCTGATGAGCCTGAGGCTATAACGGACCCATTAGCCACGCACGAGAACAATGTGTTCGAAGACTTACCGATCCCACTTGATCACGTCTATCAACGCCGCCTCAAACCTCATCCAATTGATCCACCTGCTATCCACTCTATCAGCTCGTCATCCACCCCAATCCCATCATTGACGAAGCTTCAAATCACCATCAAATCCCTCCAAACCCTCAAAATGACCTTTTAAAGGCCTTTGACCCCGCAATTGAGCCTCACAAACATCCCAAACGTGCAGAACCGAAGCCACAGGGCTTCTACAGGGCTCTGCACAAAAGACAAAGTGTCACATCAGCCCCACTGATCCCACCAGATGAGTCAGGCAACAAAAGCAGCGACAACAGTGCTTACACAAGCACCTGCCTCCTAGCTGCAGATCCGAACGCACAACTCAACAGCAACACACCAACAATGGCCAAAGCGCTATGAGGACCACATAGAGACAAGTGGTTAGAGGCTATCAATGAAGAATTAAGGCAAATAGAGAATTTGCGCACCTGGAATCTCGTCAAAGCGCCACAAAATGCCAACATCATAAGATGTCACTATGTTCCTCAAATAAAATGCGGTCCTGAGGGCAAGATCCTAAAATTCAAGGTTCGGTTAGTTGCAAATGGCAACAGTCAGCAATATGGTGTTGACTACAACGAGACTTACTTAGCAGTATTACATTTGACAACAATCTGACTTGTTCTTGCCCATGTAGCCGCCCAGAACTGGGAACTCCATCAAATAGACATCAAAAGTGCCTATCTAAATGTATGCAAGTTGAATAAAGGACTATACGGACTAAAACAAGCTGGCAAACAGTGGTATGCAAAACTATCCACAACCTTCGCTAATCTTGGCTTCACCAAGTCACAACATGACCACGCCTTATCCATACACCATAATAAACAAGACAGCATCGTTGTGGCTGTCTCTGTCGACAAAATGTTGATTGCTGGTAGCACCATCTCATCCGTTGAAGTTTTCAAAAAAGAAATGAAGGGAGGATACAAGATAACAGATCTAGGAGAAGTAAAATGGCTATTGGGTATTGACATACAACGAGACAGAGAGTCATGCACCATCTCTCTTGGCCAACAAGCCTTCATCAACTCTATACTTGCTCGTTTTAACCTATCTGAGTCCAAACCAATATCAACACCCATGGAGCCAGGTATGCTGCTGAATAAGGGACAATCACCTACCAATACAAATGACAGTCGAGAGATGACAACCATACCTTACAGATAGGCGATTGGTTTACTTATATACCCATCTCAGTGTACTCATCCCAACATTTCCTTTGCAATTTCAAGCCTCTCTCGTTTTCTTGAAAATCCTGGACAAGCTCACTAGTCAGCCGCAAAACAAGTATCCAAGTATCTCAAAACAACAAGAGACCTACACTTAGTAATAGGCTCAACCAGCAAGGACCTTGTTGGATACACTGATGCAGATTTCACCTCTCACCTCCATAGACACTCCATCTCTGGCTACGTTTTCAGAGTCAATGGAGGCGCGGTATCATGGAACTCGAAAATGCAACCACTGGTTGCACTGTCCACTACTGAGGCCAAGTACATATCCATCTCACACGCAACCAAAGAAGCCATGTGGCTGCAAAACATATGGGCCGAAATCACAGCCGCATCAAAACCATCAAAAATAACTTTATATAATGACAACAAAAGTGCCATTAAACTCTCAGAGAACAATGTCTACCATGCATGAACCAAACACATAGACACACACTTCCACTTTGTACGAGAAGCCATTGAACACAACAAGATCAACCTACTATATTGTCCTACAAATGACATGCCAGCTGATTGTCTCACTAAACCTCTCTCTCGTTTGAAACTAGAATATTTTGTCAAGCTCATGGGGCTGATTCTCATTTGAGGGGGTGTGTTAGTATTATACATTCACATCTCTTATATCAGACTTCATTCTATCTTGTCCGCTTTTCTAGCATTACCTAATACATAATTTTCCCACGGTTACACCAAAAACTCGTAGATTTCCATTCTAGAGCCTCAGTTTTTTACACACAGACTGAGGTATGTTATTTCATTATAGTCACAACAACATTTACTTACATCTACCATAGCATTTAACATTATCCTTACAGGTAGATATCAATACAGTCTTTTACACACAGACTGAGCATTTAACATTATCCTTACAGAGTTTATATCAGCTATCAGTTACCTTCAGGTTCAAACCTAGTCTGCACCCAGTAGCCAGTAAAGGAAAGGGTAAAGAAAAGGCAGCAATTAGGAGAGTCCTTCCCAAAGTGGGAATGGTTGCACTCAGAAGCAAATCCACCCACAAGGAACAAGAGGAGATTGAGGGGCTTGATGAAATTCTAAGTGATGATGAACATGGTGCTGACATTCAAAACCAGCCCAGGCCCTCCAAACCAGGTGAAAAGCGGCAAACCATAGCCTTCCAGGAATCAACAACCAGGCCCGTGCCCTTCAAACCAATGCCCAACCTCATTTTGGCTCCTTCTATCTCGGGGCAGCAATCTGTAGGTGTAAAAGAAGTGGACAAAGTCAGTCCCCGGCATGCTTCTATTACACACAAGTCTCAGAGGAGGTTCCTTGCTGGGTTATGTACTAAGGAGGAATACCTGAAGTTGGTGGATGCAGTGTACCAACTATCAAAGGACAGGCCTGGGCCCGGCTCCCAGAGTAATAGCCAGCCAGAGGATTACTTGGACTACTGGCCATCATGGGCCTCATGGGGCTATGTCCACAGCATGATTCCATTAGAGATTCATCAAGGCAATGGAACTCAAAACCTGTTGAGGTGGCTCCACGTGCAGCCTTATCTACATCACCCGGGGTCCCAGGACAGCCACACAGGTATCAGGGGCCATACAGCTATGGCCCTGATATGTTTGGCAGTAGAAATGCTGCTCTGGGACCTTCTCCAATTTGTTGATGAGGACAACAACCTGACGTGGTCATACATTGAGTTTGCCATGGTGGGCAAAACTATCCTCCCATTTTGCAGGGACATGACCACTGCAATACAAAATAGCTTGGAATCCGCCTTCCCTGACAAGGCAAGGCCTCTACTCAGGATGGTGACAAGGGCAATGCAGATGGATGGGGAACCCAGGAACATTGCACACAGGACAAGGTCAGGTAATAGTCCAGTAAAGCGGCTTTAACAAGCCAAGGACACCAAGGTAGATCAGATGCTAAAGGTAAAGAAACCCAGGAGGCGTTGAATAGTAGGTACACCTCTTGTACAGTAATGTAATAAATGTACATAATAGCCCTGGGTTCAAAATGTGTACCTGGGGATGTGAGCATTATAGTCATCCCGGGTTTAAAAGGTGTATCTGGGGATGTGAGTGTTGTAGCCATCCAGGGTTAGATGATCTTACGGCCCGGCTGAACAGATCATAGATCACTTGGCTATAGACTGTTCCCAGGCAATGTTTCCATTTTGCCGAGCATCACTTACAAATAGCTTATCAATGTGTTGAAGTTAGACAGGTCCCGGGGCATGTTGATGGGGCCCGGGGTAGAGTTCTCAGACTTGTTTCTTATCACACATTATCACGCTAAGTTTGTAGTGTGGGTAGCTCAAATCTTTTTGGATCAAGTAATTAAATGTACACTGAGTGGTAAGTGAGGAGAAACTAAGTACAGTATATGCAAATGAAATCTAGTTGAAAAAAAAGAAAGAAAAAAAGAAATTTATATTACAAGTCCATTGAACTATAATTTCTTCTAATTGTACTCCCTCTCCTTCACTTTCAACCTTGCTACCTCATCCTCAAGCTGGCTAATCCTCTCATAGAGATCCCTAATGATCCCCTGCCTTTGTTCCATCCTTGCCACCCTTTCGTCCAAGGAACTTGAAGGAGGCGGACTCCACTGCTGTACTGGGGACGACCATTGTAAGTGGCTGGGAACCGGGGATGTAAAGCTGAAGTCAATGAGGTCCCGGCCATCACTTTGAGGAGTGAAAGCAAAAGGGACCTCACCTCCCGGGGGCGTATGAGGCCTTGGTGGCTGAGGTTCATCCCCTTGTTGGGCCTCAAATGGCCAGTAAGGTGGAGGCCCGGGGGATGGACAAGGGGTTTTAGTAATGTCCAAAGGTGTTTTTTCCTGCCTGGATGGGTTGAGAGAGTGGGGAGGGGAGATCAGGGTGGGACAGAAGGGTGGGGACAGGAAGGGGGTGTTGGGTCGAGGGAATGTGATGTCTGGGGGGGCATCAATAGCCTCTTGGGGACAAATGGGAAGAGGGCTGGGGGATGGCAATGGCATCCCAAACATCCCTGGCAGGAGAGGGGATTGCCTCCCTCAGCCTGGTGATCCACTCACTCAGGGCCTGGATGGATTGCATTGGCATCTATCTCCCTGGGTTCTCTATGGGACACCTGGGGAGGCCTCCTTGGGGCTGGCGCCTGTTGAGGGGGAGGAGGTGGTGAAAGGCATACAGCAGGTGGGGGAGTGTGGTGAGCAGGAGCTGGAACTGCTGCTCATGAAGGTGGGGGGACCCTGATTGTAAATCGGGTCCCGGTCGTTCTATGGGGCTGGTAAACCTTAATGGGAGGGTTTGGCACTTCTGGCTTGGAGGCCACGGGCTTCCGGGACTTGCTCCCCAGGCTTGCGTTGTTGTCCCACACACACTTGTACTTCTCCAGGATGCACTTGTTGCAGGATGTCCTCCACTTCTTTGTCTGCTTACTCCTGCTTATGGTGTAGGCAGACTTGTCCAGCCTGCACCACTTGCACCCCTCCTCCATGCTCTTCCCCTGCAGATCCTCTACACCCCTGGTAATCTCTACCACCACCTTTTCCTTTCTCTTGCCGGTTGGAGGTGCTACAAGGTCCGGGCACTGACCACCAGAAGTCCCCGGGCCAGGGTGGGTGTGTGGGGGGCAAGATGGCCTTGAGGGCCCGGGAACGGGGGGTAGAGATGGGGAGCGCCGGGACAGAGCTGCCCTTTTCACCTTCTTTGACAAAACTTTGGGCATGTGAGCAACATCACACTTTTGTTTGCCTGTGGTGGGCATCGGGGAGCTTCTGGAATGTGCTGGCTGGATGGGCATTGTGGCAAATGTACGAGGACAAGGTGGAACCACTGTGAAAATAAACAGTCAGTAAAGAATTGAAAAATGATGAAAAAATAAAAAAACATACTTTGCAACCACCACCTATTGTCCAGAGCCTCCTTCCTCTCAGGAGTCTGTCTCCTGGGCTCAAACCAGACTGATTCCTCCACCGTCTCATCATCCCGGGTGATCAATGATGGATCCACTGCCCTTCCCTCATTTTCTGCTCTTCCAAACTGCATTACGGCCGTCAAAAAGAGCCAGGGGATGTGGAAGTTGTGCCCGGCTTCACTTCCCTCCCATATTGTGTCTGTTCCACTCACTACTTCCTCCCTCTGCCTCTCCATAAACTGGTCCCTGTGTTGGACAGGAACTATGGGCCAGTACATAACGGCCTTCCTAACGCACTTGTTGGCTGTGTGAATCTTTTCTTGGGTGGAGAAAGACATTGAGATGGTGTTTTTGGTTGGGGAGAGGTTGAAAGTGTGGTGTAGGGTGTTATGTCTGAGTGACTGAGATGCTAAAGGCTTCACTATACATGGATCTGGTGCCACAAATTGTGCCCATGGGAATGTTGAGAAAATGCACGTGATGAAAGCTGGACTTGGTATTTTTCACAATCAAACACCGCAAATGTTGCAACTACCAACTCCACAGTACAAATCCAGTGCCTGGGAACCATCCCCAGGTATGTCCCATAATCTCAAATATTACTCCACCACCATCTTGAAATACTTTTTCTTCAGATTTACTACCCATGTTACCCACCATGTTACCCACTATATATGACCCAACAACCATGAATCATAAGTTCATACATTGATTTGTACTTGAAAGGTCTGATATACATTTTTTCAGCAATTTTAAGTAAGTCAACTGGCTTATCAGACAATTTTCCATCCTTGGAGGGGTCCAACTCATCTGAATGCTCCCCAGAGTCCTCTAAATGCTCCCCAGATGCTTCCTCAGATCTCTCCCCAGCACTCACTCTTACAAACAATATCTTTGATATTGGGTTGCCATGCAAAGCTGCAAAATGTGTCCTCCGATATCTGAAAGCAACCAGGGACATGGAACTACGATATGATGGCACAGATGTCTCCATGGACATGGATTTCTATGGATATTCGGATGCGGATTGGTCTGGAGACCCAGACACGTCTCGATCAACATCAGGGTATGTCTTTATCACCATCCAAGGAGCAATCTCCTGGACAAGCAAAAGACAAAGCACGGTAGCTTTATCCTCCACGGAGTCAGAGTACATTGGATTGAGCAATGCTGGACAACACCTTGTCGGAGGTGCTACTTGCTACAGTATAATGACTCCTAGGAGTACAATTGTGCTCCTAGGAGAACAATGGTGACTCCATGCAGTGGTGGCTATGTCAGAGATTTCTGGAAGTGGCTGCAAGGTATTGCACTGGATTGCAAGCCCACAATCAACGGCACCAGTTGCAATTGATTATCGGGAAAACCCTTATCTTTGCAATGCAACTACAATCTAATCGTAATCACTGGGTCTGAAACCTGTAATCAATTGCAATCAATATTGTATCCCCTTTAGGAGTATCTGAAAAACAATATTTTTTTGGCTTTGCAAGAGACAAAATAAATTGCAATATTCCAATTGTAAGTATGGTATTTGTACTGACAGGGATTTGAACCCGCGGCCACCCCACTTGCAAGAGCCATTGCAACCAAGTTTTTTTTTCAATATAGCCACTTCGCCAAAGAGCTGACATTACTATAGAAGTGTACATCAATATAACTAATTGTTTTGCTGGACTGCTTGTAATGTACTTATGAAGTGATTGCAACACCACACAAGTATCAGCAAAGGTTGATTTGTAACAAATATGTTAGAGTATGAAATCAAATAGCTACTTGGTACGACGAGTGCGCTTTGTAGTAGTGGTGCCAATTTCAGTACTACCTGTAGCTACTTCTGCAGACTTCCCTTTACCACTTTGACCCTTCTTGGTTTTCATCACCGGTGCATTGGTAATATTATCTCTGGCCTCCTCCTCTAAAATATCAACTCCATCAGTGCCAACGAGCTTGCGAGAGAAAATGTTATCAGTAGATAAAACATTAATCTGCACGGCAGATGGTGCAGCGGTTGCCACTACTACTTCAATATCATCTTCGTCAGAAGAAATATCCATTTTGGCCATTGCTTGTTCAACTTCTTCGTTATAGTGATCTTCTTGCCCTGCTATAACTGCCTGAATAGTCTTGCGTGAAGAAAAAATGTACCAGTCAAAGATTTTGTATATCTCTTTGACTTGTTTCTTGTCAGCTTTCATAATGAGGATTTTCTTGTAGTTGCGGAACAGGTCAAAGTACTTTAAACCTGATTTGGCACCTTTGCCATCATGTGGAAATTCTTTGTCAGGAGAAACTAAGAAAACAGCCTATATAGCAAGATCAGAATGACAGCCGCTCAGAATAGTCTACTTTTAACTCACCACAACTGCACCACAACTGCTCCCCATGCTAGAGATCCTGGAGTATTCATGGTGACATCCCATGTCTTTGCATTACTTTTACCACCAGCGCGGCCACCCTCAAGTGACTTTGGTCCATGAAATGCGACTTTGAGAATCTGAGCAACAATAGTAAGTCAGTTCTCATACATGATTTTAGTGACTACATTACCTTGGCAATTGTGGTACTTCCAAAGACATTTTTCATGTCCATTACACTGTCAGGAAACAGAACAGGTGGGAACATATCATACTTTATTTGCTCTCCGACCAGTTTGGCTCCTTGTAATATTTTCAGCTCCGGAACTGAGGTCCTGTCAAACAGGACTTCAAAATAATGCTGTGGGAGACCAAATATTTTGCTGGCTTCGCCACGAATTTTGAAAATGACATCTGAACGGCCACTGCATAGCCTTTTTTGAAACTTAGATTATAAAAAAACAATTTGTTACTTTTACATATGAAATGAATGGCGTAAAACAGACATACCAGGTTGCCGAGATGCTGGCTATCCTTCATTAAACGATGGAAGTGGATGGGAATGAATTCATGCAGTTCTCTAATTTGCGTCTGCTCTTCCGCAAGTGCTGATGCATAGCGTTTTGGAGAGTCCACTATCAGCACATCAGATCCAGCTGGCCGTTCTGCTCGAAACCACAGTAAATTTACCGACATATCAACCATAATCCCATATTTCTTTGCAAGCTTCCCAATCTCCTCATCATGAGCAATGACCTCCTTTGGGACAGCTGATGCCCGAGCTCGTGTAGGCTGCTTTGCCTTAAGCAATGCATTGTCCCTTTTCAGCCGCCTGTTGTCATTGCGGATCTCATGTAAGTGCAGTTGCGTAGCCTGAAGTGCCTGTGATGATGCTTGATTTTTATGATCCGCAGAAGGCAACACATTTACTTACTTTTCTGAGCTCTGCAATGGATGCACCATCTCCCGGCATCGCAAGTGCCAGGAGATCCTGTCTATGGCTGTTATTAGATGACTGGCCCTCAAATGTGTGCTTCTTGTTGCCAGGTTCGTCACAGCTCTCCTCCAAATCATCACAGTTGTCAGTTGTTTCTGAAGAAAAGACACGATTAAAGTTCTCTTGTTCATCTGAGTCTGAATTGCCGTCATGTCATCTTGCACCGTGTTGAGGCATCTGGCTGAGGAATGTTGGGTCACGTCAATGCTGGGAGGGCAAACATAAACAGCGAGATTTTAAAGCAGTTGCAGCCGGCTTACATAAAATGAAACACGAGGATGCTGCGTTTCCATTATGTATACATTGTAACATGAGGATGCAGCAAGCCTTTGGTGCGTTGGATGTATGATATTCATATTACATCAAACGCCTTTTCTCCTGTCGTTTCCACTACCGATGATGTTACCATTACAGATAATCTTTTTCAAGTTTGTGGTAGGAATGATGGTACTCTCGGCGTAGGACGAGTAATGAGCAAGATTCGGAGTCTAATATAAATTTAGTGATCAAACGAATGCGGATAATCATCCTGTCAGTCTACTCACCCACTTATCCTGACCCAAAATCAGCCTGGCAAGCCAAATAGCAGCAGCAGCTATCAATGATGGAGGTGCAGCCAACAATCTCCACTCTAGGCATTGATTCTCGAGGAAGTACTTGACAATTGTGCAAGCCTTCACGTCAAATTTGTCTGCCTTGCTGATCCGCCTCAAGAAGTGCATTGGGCTGGGATAACTCAAATTCCAGTCGAGCGTCTTCAAGACATAGCACTCTGCTTGGAGGATCTCAGTTTCGAGCGAGATAGGTCCAAGAGTATTTGCTTCCCTGAGAGATATAAGAAAATCCCAGAAAGCGAGCAGAGCTGGGTGTGTCCAAGCGGTCTGAGAACTGTTCGCTACCCCTGATACTGGGCCACTGGGAAGCAGAATGTCCTCGCCCGGTAGTGGATCCAATATGACTGTGATGGTCGCGTCATCCCAGGGTAGTCTTCCACGTACAGGAATAAGCTAAGCTCCCCTAGCATAAGGAGTATCCAGATATTCCAGGACTGATTTGGAATTATATGGTGAAAATGGTACTTTGTCTGTTGTGGCATAGGGCTTAACGCGCAACGCGCAACGCAGTTTTAGGCAGGCAATCTGTAAAATGGGCAGAGTAAAAGTGGGGCTATTGTGCGATCCATTTAGGACGATTAATGTTGAAAGTTGCTCTAAGCCAAAAGACCACGAACCTGAGGTATCACTGTGAAAAGTGGAGAGATGTCATAACGGGTCCTTTTAGATGGCCTTACCAAATCATTTGGAGACGGTTCTTGTGAAAGAGATCGAGCTCTACGTCGAGAAGTCCTAGCCTCGTCTGTGAGCAGTTCAGGATCTTGTATTTCGGACTCGTGTCTGTTTATTTTCCCCGGACGTTTTCGGTCATAACTATGAAAATAATCAGACAAATATTCAAAGTCTGTGCTTTCAAAGCTAGATAAATCATCTAGCGTGAAGTAGTCCCAGTCCGTAACGCCTGGGCTTGCCCCCCAGTCCTTGAGATCCCGAGCCCACGAGCCAAACCTTCCTTGTTCCTCCGACGCTAAAGTAGGAGGATCTAAAGCAAACTTGAATAGTTTCCTATCGGAAAGGTCTAAGAATGAATTCAGTTCATTGACAATACCCAAACGAGGACAGATAGTGCACACCAAAGTCGTATTCGCCAAAACTCGCACTGGTGTTCACCCAACCATTTGAATAACACGCAGCATTTACGAGAGCCCTCCCGTTTTCAACAAGAGACGTTGGCGGAGATAAGTGTACGAAGAATCGGCACAGTACAAGAAGTGCGCAATGGATAGAGCCACAATTTCTTCAACCTTTGCCGCAACAAAAAGGCAAGTGATACCGACTAGTTGCAACTTTGCAAGGGAAACGACGCGTGCGGAAAGGAATCGATCGATAAGGTTAACGCACAAGAACAGTGTTTCTGGCAAAAGACGAAAACGGACGTGGACTTGGACCAGCCAGTCAGTGAGGATTCCACGCATCTTCCACGCAAGCTCTTTCTGGCTTTCCATGTAGTTCGGGTTGGGCATAGTGGTAAGCTGCACGTTATGAATCATCAGTGATATAGTTAATGAGTATGTCAAAACAATGCGCACCTCGATCTCTTTCATGTAGTTAAAGATCTCAATCATATACTCGCTAACCATCAAATGGTCGTCTGCATCCTCGGCATTGAGGTCATCCCATTGGTCACCGTAGGGATCTGCCTCTGGTTCACTATTTGCGTAAGCTTCAAGAGCAGCTTCTTCGGCTTCCTGTTGTAACTGTTCTTGTTCAAAGAGTTTCACTTCGTCAGGGATGTCTGAGGACGTGCGCCGCTTCTTGAAGACACAATTGTCCTCAATGTCATCCTCGTGCTTTGCGGGGGCTGAGTTGGCAGGCGAGTTGGAACCTCTGATGGACAAGTCTCGTCTACAACGGTTTGCAAAGCTAAACCCGAACGTCTCATCGAGACCCGGCGTGGCTGAGGTTCTGCTGAGGGAGCTGCATTGGTAGTTGGATGGTCATCGATTGCCATGGCATCTTCATCTGCAACCTTTCCAGACTCCTCCTTCACCTTGTCCAGATTCTGCGCTTGAGGTGCCACAACTGTACTCCTTGTGGCAAGATGTGTTGTAGAACCTGAGACAGTGCACAACGGTTGCCTTGCTGCAGCAACCAGGGACGGTTTCGACTTGATCACAATGCCATCAAATTTCTCCTTAACCTCCTTGACGGGATCAGCTTCTTTCCTCTTCCCTTTGACTTCCTTAGCTGGAATGTTAGTGGTTTTGTTCTTGTTCACGAATCTCGTGACTTCTCCCAGAGCCTCACACTTTCTCTTCCCTTGAGTGGCGAGATTGACCTTGTTCTCATCATTACCGTTCGCCTTTGCTCAAGATGCAGTGGTTGCAGCAGTAGCTCAGGTCAGACCACCAGTCGTAGCAGTACCAGAGCCATTCGATGATGGGGGTTTCACTCGGGCAGTAAGACGCGATGGACGAGCATTGGCATTCTCGTTATCTTTAAGAGTTGTCGTACGAGTCGTCCGCATTACACGCCGTGTCTATTAAATGAGCGATGAAGTCACAGCAACGAGCGAGTAAAAGATAGAGAAAGCTCACAGGAATATTCGAAGCCATGAACAAGAAATGTCCGTTGAACAATAACTAGGATATGATAGACAACAGAAATGAAAAATGAAAGGGTAAGAACGTTGCAGACTGAAGCCAAAGCTTGTCTGTTCCCAGTTGTCCTTAGGTATGCTTCGCTGGCAATTCGAACCACATCTTCTTTGTGCGCAAGAACCAATCAGAATCGACTGTGTCAATGAGAAAGAAGTCGCCAGAAACTTCGTAGTCTGGGGCCATAGCTGCACCACAAACTATTGAACGAAGAGGGACGAACTCAGCATCTGAGCGTGAATTTGCCCGAATTCGCCAGAGCCCAAGGTCCTTGTCTTTGTGTCACCGCTGACCTACTGGAGCATCATATGGTTGAACCAGTGCAAACGGATAATCAACCTGATCAATGGTACAAATAAATAGCATGATGAGGCGAGCAAAAATCCTTGAGTCCACTGTTTGCAGTAGGACACAATCATATTGTGGATGATTGTAAAACCAAGGGTTACATCGAAGGTAATCGGTATATTGTTGCCAATCGACTATAGATTCATAGTCAACTTTCATGAAACAATATTCTGTAATCTTGTCTTCAGCCCCCAATTTGATGCGTTTCCCACCAGGGAATGCTATATTATTTGCGCTGAAAAATATGTTAAGGTAATTTGAGAGCCTTATACGAAAGCTTGTGAATGCTGTATCATCCTTGCGTGCTTCTTCCAGGCCTTGAAATGATGTTGCAGGACACTTTGAGCCTAGCAACACATGACTCGTTTTGGTGATCTTCAAGTCAACTTCATCCCCTTCAAGATCACCCATTAACTGGCTATCAAAAGCTGCTATATCCTGGCGGATAAAGCATGACACCAGACACTAATGGTCAGCCTGAAGGATCTAAGTGATGATATCAGATACTGGTTGTCCTTATAAATTAGACAGACCAACCTGTTCAGCAACGTGTTTGAAGTTTGTTCGGAATCGATAAGAATCCTTGAGTGGGCCATGTAACTGCTCGTTTGGTTTTGTATTGTAGTTCCGGGTTACGCCTTTTGCTTCGATGTCTTCAAATGCATGTTTATTCATGTGCATCTTCGGAAAGTTCCAACTTTTGTCTCTAAGTCCATCTGCCGCCTTTAAATATTCCTGCACAAGTCTTTAATAATTAATGAAAAATAATGATGGCAACCTACATCCATAGCTTGTGAAAATAGCTTCAAAGCTTGTCTACCAGCTGCAATAGTCTCTGTCGTGTGAACTGTTAGTCCTGTATACATATCAACATCAAGGAAGAGGTGAATGCTCTTCAAAAGAAGATGTGCTGGCTTGTGTAATCGAACATCAAATATATTGTGCGAAGCAAAGATAACCATCTACAATAGGTATTTAAAAAACGACGAAGGATGAACCATACTGATTATACCTTGGATATATCTTCATGCTTTGTTGCATCCGAAAATTCTATGCTAGCCACTCTGTCAAAATGGTTCAGATTTCGCCAACGAGGCATACCATTGAACCTAGTGTGATTTAATATATGTTATAAGTGTTAATAAGATAAGAGTGCGTACTGATCATCAAGCTGATGGGATGCTGCTCGGCCCTCTGCTTCTATCCAGAATAAAAACTCCTTCCAGAGATGATGGCCCCATAGGCCACTATTATGTGCATGTAGCCGGTCCCAAGATAATGCTTGATGCACATCAGAGTAACGGAACCTCCAAAAGACATTCTTATCCCATATGAGCATAATATAGCAGTATTAAAGATATCTCACCTTAACAGGACGAAGTCCACAGTTTTTGAGGACAATTCCCTTGTCTGCCGCTGTTTGCTGCTGCTCCGCTTCTAGTAATATAGATTCTGAATGAGCACTGGTCCGACGAGTAAATGTCTGTGTTGTATCTGAAAGTTTGTCCCTCGGTACAAGGCATATTGGGCACGGAAAATTACAATTTGTCCCACGTAATGAAGACATTGCACATCTATGAAGGATAAATAACTAGTTGATGGATACAAAGAATTTACTTACTGTTCCTCGTAGTCAGCAGAAAGTATCAAAATAATAGGGAAAAGATAAAGAACATCACCCTCAGTGCGCTGATAATAATAGCCAGTCTTGGCATGAAGTTCTAAAGATTCAACAACTTTTAAAAATGATTCATGCTATACGACATTCTTGAAGTTAGCAAAACTCTTTTTACCCTTATGTTCCTCATCTTCCGGCACCTGTAATGAATAACCATTATGCTCTGTATAATAGTGTGGATTGAATAATATATACCACCGGAAGCCACCCTACAACTCTTCCACCTCCAACACCTGTACCATTTCGGATATCAGTGGGCAAGTTTGCACATCGTGCAATTACGGGATAGCCCTTTACAGTCCCGAAAGAAGACAGAATTGTTTTATCAGCATATAAAATAAAACATAGAGGCTTTCCACCATCTGGAAGCCTTGACTACAACATGTATATTAATTGTATACAATAGCAAATAAGTTCAACATCACATACTTGAATATCCCAGAAATCCCCAGCTGTCCATGGTTCGTCAATGAACTGTACAAAATTGTCACCGTTAAATTTGGAAAGCCGTTCGGCATCAAATACAAAGTGCTCTGAGAGGTGCGGGTTCCCTAATAAGTCCAATGCCCAATCCCACAGCGAACGAAAATGAACATCAAAGGAATGGTCTTTGCCTTGATATGGTACATTGATTACAGTCTTTTCAAACTGGACTTATTTGTTGTCAGTTCTTATACGCAATAAATGTGTACAATATCACAAACCGGAGTTAGGGCATGAGAAGCAATCTTCCATGTCTCGTAAAGGTCAGATTGATCTTTCAGAGTGAACGAGCCAGGGTCTTGTATACTCTGGTGAATGACCTTGACTAATCTATTTATCTGGTCTTTATTTAACGCTGCTTCAAGAGCGACCTCCGCAAATTCAAAGTCAACCCGGGATTTGAATGGCTGCCACGGACATGAGTTTTTGATGCGTGCTTTGCCAGAAAATCCACGTTTGAAATCAGAGAAATGGTCCACTTTTGCAGTGCGGCCACTTGTAGGGTGGTACTCAGTTTTGATATCATCTATTTGAAGACTTTCCCCCATGAAGTTCAGCCCGACAGGGGGTGCATCATGAAAACGAGATGATCCTGTAAAGATAAAATAGTAACGACCGACAAGCACCAGACTGATATATACCTACCATAGTTATCTTCTACGTCAAAATTGGTGTCGGTGTTTTCCCATACATGTTTTGACGAAGATCCCACTGCAAATTGTTTCTCTAGTTTTTTCGCTAAGCAGAAACGTTAATGAGTACTCAGTTTCCATGTCAGACTGATCTGCCTACCTTCTTTTTTTTCTTTCCGAAGCTGCTTGTCTAATTGAAGGTCTTGCGCCAAATGTGCCATCCGCTTTATACATGTTGCTTTGTGTCTGGGGAGGCCCATAGGCTTGAAACGTCCCCCGCAGGAAGGGCAAGCTTTGAGGCCATCATCGTGATTGTCGAGAGCAATAGATTCTGTGTGGAGATACACACTGGGAACCTTTTGCTTGTCCTTCGGCATGCTTATCAAGGAGTTGTTGATACAGAGTTCTTGAGGATAGAGCTTGAAGCCAGTACAGATATACAGTTATGGGCGAAGCTGACTATGTACAGACAGATTGAAGGACATTGTCGTTGGTGAGAGCGAATTGATGCGGACGCAATGTGGTTGCCATTTGGTTGCAACCGAACCGGCCGACTGTTAGTAAGCTACACTGCTTGCACGCTGCTTATCACACCAACCCAATCACGTGCTCTTGCAACCAGTATAGGAAATCTCCGACATATGCTCCATGGAGAACAATGGCTGCTTTGGCAGAGACCGGGTTTATCCGGTTTTGTCATCTGTTCTGTGTTTTGGTCCCCTTATTGTGGTGAGTTACCTGAGCATTAGCATTCATCTCTATGGTGCACAAAAAGGCAAGGTAAAGTTTTTCAGCACCAACTCATTTAAAGTACAGTTTTGCAGGTATCTCTGATAATTGACATTGTTTGATCATTGCTGTTTACCCCGTTTCTGCCGCACTTAGTTGTAGGTGCTCCAAAAATTGTATGTCAGGATCTGGCTCTGTCTGCTACCACAGAAACCACTATATTGAATAGAAAGCAAAGGAAACGAGAATGAAGAGGCGATGGTATCAAGTCATATGAATTGCTTACAAATGAGAGGGCGAGTCATGCAGATTGGTACATAAGAGGTATAAAAGTTCGGGGAAGAAAAAAAACTTCAATGTCGAAATGGAAACCTGGAACCTCTGGGTCCAGGAATAATCTAGCTTTTTTCGCAGTGATACTAGGCACATCACGCAAACGCACCGTCAATAAGTTTTGCGATACACAGAACGTATACTATGCAGGAGAACAATGCAAGATTGATACCGTATAGGTGCAAGACATGGAGATGGGGACGGGAGTAACACAGTATAATGGAAAGTAGGAGTAAATAGGTTGTGTACGAAGAAACACTCTTGAGACTAAAACAGGGAGAAAAGGGAAAAATAATCAATATCGAAAAGCAGAAGAGAAGGAAGCGTCGCAAAGATGCACAGCATATGAAGGGTGCCAGATGAGCGATATGGACACAACGTGAGAGTTTGCTAGAATAGAAAGGTGCAATGAAACAAAAATGTGTCAAGAATAAGCCAGGTTTAGACAGCGAAATAGAGATAGTCTAATGACAACAGTAAACCGGAGTAAACCAAAAAAATGACAAACAACATAAAATCAATAGAACAGAAAAATCATCGTCAAAGACAGGGAGACGAAGACGTGATGATATATTTTTATGCAGAGACAAAAACCTCCTTCACAACATCGGGCGTACCATTAGTTATAGCGGCAAAAGACATGGGGAGCTTCGTGGTAATCGCGTTGTCATGAGATACGTCAGTCTGAACGCCATTATGCTCCACGACCGGCTTACTGTCCTAAGAGAATGAATTTGAATTTACCGATAATCAAAGAGACCAAGGCAGTTTCATACCTGCACATTCCTCGGAGGGCGCTGCTCGGAAGGAACAGACTCCTTCATGTTGTCTTTGCGTAAAGGAGGCGGAGCTTGCAGTATCTGCGCCGCAGTAGGACCGTTAAGACCATTGAACAGAGGGCCACCAGAGGCTGAGCCTCTAGACGGGGGTGTTGTAGATCCTCCTAGGACAGGAAAGTCATCTGCGTTAGGAACTCTTTGCCTTTGCGCCGTTTTTTTGTCTACTCGGGGTACGTGACCTGACTTGAGGCCCTGAACATAGCGAGAGCGACTACCTGCATCTGTAGATTGCGAGCGAGTCGATCCTTCAAACCCATTCTGACGATGAGCAGTCTCCTGTACCTGACAGTTTAGACATGCGAATGACTTATTAAGTTAAAACAGTGTCTCACCTCCCGCGCGGAAGTATTAGAATTTTTTTCTTCAATTGGGGGAAAACCATTCGGTGCACCACCACGGCGCGGACCGCGACCAGCAAAGTTAGATGGGTGATGAACATTAGGCCCATCTGGAAGAACGTGAGGGAACCGACAGTCGTCGCTAAGCGATAGTTAATGCATTTCCATCAGCTGGCACTAAAAAGCTAACATACCCATTCCTACACCTGCCCGAGGGGAAGAAGAGACAAGGTGGCTTACGTCCACCTCCAAGTGAACCTCGACGCATGCTTCCACGACGGTGATGACCCATACTGTCACGATAGTTTGACACTTGACCGTAGCCGTTCTCAGAAGCGTGCATAGGGGGGGATTTCGGGCCACCGTTCATATCGGGGAAATTGGAGTGTATATTGACGGCTTGAGGTGGATAGAGGGCTACGGGATCAGAACGAACAGTAAAGGGAGGAGCAGAAGCGGACCCATTGTGAGCAACATTGTGATACATTATTTGTGGGGATTGCGGACCGTGAGCGGACTGCGGTTGATGGAGAGGAGGGAGAGCGGGAATAGAAAGAGGAATGGGAGCCTGACCCGGATGAACGTAGGGCGAAGAAGCGGGGGACATATGACCGTAGGGGGTTTGATTGGGACTGAAAGGACCTTGTACTGGAGAGAGAATGTCGGAGCCCGATCTAGCATGAATGAGTGGTGGATTGGGGGGAGTGTTGTGAGGGCCTGACGGCGGGGTGTTTATGTGAGAAGGGACTGGTGGAGGAGGATGAGGAACACCATAATAATTGGGGGGATAAGAATGGGGGGCCATGTGGTCGTAAGGAGGGGGATACTGAGGTGGGGGCGGCATTGGACCCGAATAGTACGGGCCCTGGGGATGAGCAAAAATGCAAGAAGAGCCATAGCGACACGCAGGGAAGTACCTGCATGGAATGAAACGAGCGATTTCAGGGGGAGGAAGATTACCTGGACCAGATTGATCGGGGAGAGGAAGGGAAGGATAGTAGGCGATAGAGCCATCGGGAATGGGAGGTGGTTGAGGCATGCCAGGATAGTACGGGTAAGGAGCAGGCGGGACGGGATAATAGCGCTTTGCAGGATCAGAGTTGGGGTCCTGAGGATAGTTATTATCCTGGGGAGTAATTGCAAAGTGGGGATTTTCAGAGTGAGCAGAAACAATGATGTCCAATATGATGGGGTCAGAAGTATATTGTTGGGGAGAAAAAGAAACGTCTGCGTCTGAAAAAGAAAAGATGAGAAAGTGGGAGCTGAGAAAGATAAATCGCAAACTTTTGTCGAGGAGGGCTTTTATGACGTCAAGATGAGCGTTCTTTACGGCCTGGATGAGAGGTGTTGCACCGTTGTGATCTGGGGATAAGGTAAGGGGGAGATGGTAGGATAAGAGAGAAGATATACCCGAGATGTTGATGTCTTGGGGGGCAGCGTCTTTGAGAATGTCGAGGACAGCCTGGATGTTACCGTCAGCAGAGGCGTGCCACAACGCAGAGACCATTGAGCAAGAATAAGAGATGAAGTGCACAAATGAAAAAAAAAAAAAAGAAAAAAAAAAGAACAGGAGGAGTCGTCTGCCAAACTTTCTTCGGCTTTCGGCTCTCCCTAGTCCTCAAAAAATTGTGTGGGAATATTTGAGTTCATTATCTAATCTCACGTGCTACATCACGTGTTCGCATCATCCCTATCTACTTGCTACTTCTCAGTTTCCCCAAGAGTCGTTGCGCCGGCCCTCCTGTCGTTTCAGGTAGATCAAGTTCACGCGACGGAGGCCGACTCATCAATTCTTGCACTCCCTCTTGCACTCGTTTCCCTGTCTTCACATCAGTATTTCTTCTGTACATGTCCTCGGTAACTATTACCTTCATATAGCACCTGGTATATCTGCCGTCACCCTCCGTTAGTTCCCTTTTTGACTTGTCACTATTCCACACTCACCCCATTCGCAATTGGCGCATCAACTCCCAGTTCATCAATTATCTTCTTCAGCCCCTTCGCCGTAGTCACACCCTCCGCCACACTTCCCAACGTCTTGATGATCGTCTCTAACGACTCTCCCTTCCCTAGTCGATATCCTACAGTGTAGTTCCGACTGCTCGACGAACTACACGTTAGGAACAAGTCTCCTACTCCTGCCAGGCCTAAAAACGTCAGCGGTGATGCCCCATAGGCAGTCCCAATCCGGGTCATTTCCGAAAGCCCTCTTGTAATAAGACCTTGGCACAGCTGTCAGATACCTCGTTTATTTATGCGAACGTGAACCTTACTAGCTCGTGTGTTATTTTCAAATCCTAATCCATCAGACATTCCTGCCGCAATCGCGTATACATTCTTCAGCGCACCAGCTAATTCCAGCCCAATCGGGTCTCCACCTGTGTAGCTGCATCTCAACAACATCAGTATCCCACACACATCGAGAAAATATGCTCTTACCAACGAAACCACGGTTGATGGAACAGCTCAGACGCCTTCTTCGCCTGCGCTTCACACAAAGAAGCTACAGACACTGACGTGGGTTGTCGTCGGACAACTATTTCCAGGTCAGTGTATAGGTAGATAAAATCGAACCAACCCGCTCGCACCCACTTTCCTTTGCAAACGACGGTCCTGACTGTGAGTATCCGCGTGACTCAGTGAATGTAATCCACCATCGCGTCTCTTCATCCAACTCACTATGAATGTAGCTGACCTCGCTACCTCACCTCCACATGTGTCTGCGATAATCTCCAGTGTCAGTGCCTGCGTACCAGTCTCTATACCTTTGTTCACAAAAATCAGAAGAGGTAACTTGTGCGAGTCGATCTTTGGACGCAACGCGCTGAGCGTATCTCTAGTTGGAAAACATGAATACGATATGTCTAATAAATGACGTTTATTTCAGACCTCAGGCCCTGAGTGGGAATAGCAAACAGCAGCACATCCATTTCCTGAATCAGATTGCGGTCTGGGATATCTGGCCCCACAGCTTGGATGTTCGAAGAGAACAGGTGGTCCTTCAGATATCCTGGATTGCGATGATGCAAATTAAAATACTGAACGACAGTTTCATCGCGAGACCATATGTAAACGTCGTGATCAGAATCGCCGAGATGGTCTGCGAGACAACTTCCAAAGTTTCCCGCTCCGAGGACGAGTACCCTGGACTTTGCAGAACTGTGCTTTGAGATCACCATTGGAAAATTTGACCGAAGAAGGAAGCGGGAGTAATTACGGGTGAATAGCAGTGGACACTTTGAAGGACAAGTGAAGCATGGGTTCGGAGCGTATCTAGCCTTTTGTGGTGCTATCAAGCTCTTAGGTCGGAAAGAGAGCGTCCAGCGAATCATGTACGCGGTTCTGAAAGAAGTCTAATGATAACAAGTACTAGCATCAGCGAATTGAAGTGACCGTGACATGCTCTTTATCTACACCGCTAAATTTGTCTCACGCTTTACCCATGGCAAGTCCTAAGTCATTTATCAGCAGTGGTCAGACCCTTGGTCCGGGGTTCACCGAATAATTAAATCAAACCTCACTAACGTGTTGCAGCACAGTCATTTATGGGGGCATTAGATCCAAGGTCTGCGAGAGGTATTCGGGTGGTATCGGGGATGTATGGTTGTTATCTATATAGTATTTACAGTCTTGATTGTACCGTGGCCGAGTTTGTAGCATCTCTCAAATGTTCAATATAGATGTTTTTCCGACCTCAAACAAACCATGCGTAGACATTGATCAGAACATCACCATAAGTATACTTGTAATTCCACGTCAACAACCTCAATTTTAAGCACATATCATCTCAGTATCAAGGACACAATATGTTACGATACACAATTTTCGGACCTTTAATTTTCATTCTCCTCTTTAACTTTATACTGTAGTTTTCACACACTGTGCCCTGCGGCACTTTCCATTTTGTTCAAACTTCACCTTCTCACGCTGCGCTGCCTTTATTCTTATTTTAGCTACAAGTCTCTCATGCAGTGGAGCTGGTCACATGGGCTGCGCCCTCTGACATCATCAGCCACTGATTTTATCAACTGTACAGTACCCACAACTAACTCGGTCCTACCTAAGGGGTAACCACTCCCACTCATTACTCTTTTGCTTGTCTGAGTTGTGCGCCAGAGTAACTAACTCTTGGTTGTTACACAATATATTGCAAATCCGTCAGAACATTCACAGTGATGGAGTCATTTTTAACGGCTACATGATAAGAATATGAGAGGATGAAGGACTAAATACCCGCAACAACCACACGGCCATCGAAAACTAAAGTGACTATGTCTTGGAATCTATCCCAAATTGCACCCCTGGTTGATATGTAGTCTATATCATTAGCAACTGGCCTGGTGCTTCTCTCTGCATGAGCTAACACGCCCTTCTGTGCTATCCAGCCCTCCAAAAAAGATTGTTCGGGAGAAATCTTTGGGCTCCAGCGAGTCCATTGGCCACAAGAAAACTTGGGATAGGCGGCAATATAGGCCATCCAGAAAACCTCTCGCCCCCAAGTCCACTCCAGGGACTGTCTGTCAATAACTTCCATCAGTAGCCAACATTGTATCTTGTTCATGAGCCGTATCCAGCACTGCATGTCATAAGGATTGAAGCTGGACTGCAGAGGTAAGAACAACAGGGGGATGCTTAGCTCACAAGTTTCCTGTCAATCCTTCAGCGACAACATTAACAGGAAGTATGTGCTGATATATACCTCTTGATTTTGGGAGAAGACTGACATTAAACTTTTCTCCCCGTACTTGAAATCTACAGGCCCCTCCTTTATCACAGGCGTGACACTAGTACAGTCTGGCGGTAGTGTAATTGTTACCTTCAATGGCTGGAATACATATTTTTGGTCAAAACCGCCATTCATGAGAGAAAAAAAACTCACGACTTCTCCAAAGGAAATTCTTGAAGTTGGAACTGATCCTTCAAATATAATTGCCACATTCAATGGGCACAATCTATTTCTGGTCCCCCAGTCCCTGTGAGTGACTTGAGGATATAAAATAGTAGATGCGACTGTTGCCATTGAGTTGGTGAGTTGGAGGGAAAATGGATGAGTGTGGGAAGTTGAACACCAACACTACAGTGGCTGTGTTGCTTACACTGGCATCTGTTGAATAACCAAGTCCTGAGGCCTGTAGCTGAAGCTTTATCCCATCCGTGCTGATCTTTTCTTCTACCACTAGGAAATCAGTCCAATATGCCAAAATTTGTGTCAAATAATCACTTGGATCCTCGAGGTCAGTTACTTTGTCAAATACTTTCTTTTACTCTAAATTTGGAGCTGTAGTTTACAGATTCCTGGATAGAGATAAACATATCACGTATCTTGCTTGCCCAAAGCAGAATCAAGTTTTCCTACCCATGAGGCAATGCCATTTGGCTGGTCACAACTCCACCAAAAAACATGGTTGCCCCATTTCCAGACTTCTCAGAGAGTCTGGATTTTAGCCTTGTTTATCCGATACATCAACTCTTCCACCATCTCGGCCATTACCAGCACCGGACTTGCCTCAGCAAACATTCTTTGATCATATGGCGTCTTCACCTTCTCCCCATTACAATTCTCACTTGCCATACAACAGACCTCACTCTCCCACTGACCCCCAAGACCAGCCATTTGATCTTCTATTTCCATTTTGTGATTTATGGGGATCAAATGCTGGCTCCCAAACTTTCAAGCTACAGCCTGGAGTTGACATCTACCAGGACCTATGTGAATCCTTAAGCAAGGGCGATAGTCCTTTTTAATGCTGTTTGCGTCCTGCTACTGAAGAACTGGGGATTGAAGGTGATGTCGACAATTTTGGCATTGAATGTCCAGGTAGGGCAAACTTGATCTGATTCATGTTTGAACTCATTGCTTTATAGATATACCTGAGAACTCGTTTGAAACATCACAAAGTGATGTTCATTCCAGCTCACCTACTTATCCATGGCCATCTCTAGCGGTACATTTGTTATTTTACCTTTTTTCTCTCATTAAAACCATGCCAATTTTACCCAGATGTTTGCAACTGATTTACTTTTTAGTTCACCCCGACTTCAATTTTCTCAAGCTCAGCAAAAGGCCATCTTATCCTGGGCAAATGAATTGTTGGCGCACAATGTTCCAACACTCTACGCATTGAAAAAATGCCAGGACAAAATTTGCAACCTGGTATGCAACCCCACCAAAAAGAAGACTACCAATTCTGGCAATATTTTCTATCCAAATTTGGTGGGTAAAGCAATTGCAAAGGTAGGTATTCTTTTCATTATGTGTCAGCACATTTAATTCCACCCCATACTTTGCAGGACTATTCTAACCCGATAACCAGGCACATAATGCAAGACTATCCTGAAGAAGGCGACGGTACCATGTCTCAGGTCCATCATGGGAATAAGATGCTACTTGACCTCCCTCCCTCCCTCGCTGTACCTTCTATCCTCGTCAATGGCAAGATATACATCATCAACGAACTCCTGCAACAAATCAATAGCACCTACTTTATCCCCAAGAAACTTTTTCAGTCTCGAGCTGAGGAGGGTAATGTTGAGATTCTAGCCATTGGCCACTCTGTGATGCCATCTGAGGTATGCCTGCTTTGATGTTAATTACTAATAAAAAATTACTGACAGATATTTACCAAATGTAGGCTGGTTTTATTGTTGATCCAGGGAGGGTTATAGGACCTACATCTACATTTACGCGGACATTCATCAAAATACAGACTGACCCGTTGGAATTTTCAGGCCTTACAGGTAAGCTTTGTGTGAGGCAACGATAAACTATAACAAAAACGAAACCTGTCTCCTTCTGCACTTGCAGGGAGTAAGGGGTTCAATGAGCTTGAGGTCGACAGACGCTAGTAAATATAGCGAGTAGAGGACTTTGAGAGGTAAGCTTCAAAGGTTCTTGTTGAGGAGTAAAGCGGGTAAACTCAGTAATAGAAAACTAAGGAGCCATACATGAATAGGTAAGGCTTTATATAGTGAACTGTTCGTTCCTCAGACCCAAAGGAGAATATACAAAAAGTGGTCTGAGGAATCAATCGACCAATAAGAAAAAGGGAGAGTAACTATTGTATGACTTTTGACTTGATTAATCAGCAGGTGAGAGACTTGTACTAATAATAGAGGATTGTCACGCGTGTTCAGGAACTGTATCCTCATAATGAGGTACGATCCTGAATAAGGTGTTATTAGTATAACCAGACTTTACTGAGGCTTGGAGCTGGTTGGCGAGATGCCTACTACCAGTCCTTACTCTGTGTGCTGGCTGGCTGGGAGCGATACCCAGTCTCTGATCTGTGATATAAAATGGTAGCGATGGTTAAGAAAGCCTGTGAGGGCTATGAGAAGTAAAACGGCAAAGGATACCTCTAGCCCTAGAGCCAGAGGTGTAATGGGAAAAGCATTCGAGAACCAAGACATAGCGAAGATAAGAAAATAATGAAATGGTCCTTACACTTTGCCCTACTAACAATTTTTTCGATCTTCTAACTAGATTGCGGCTTAGATTCATCTGCACACTTTGCCACTCAAATGCCTAACCCTCTGTTGGTGCTCACAGTCCCACTGATAGTCTTCATGGATGACGTGTTGGGAAATGTTTCAAAGCAATGGAATAAGCATCACGTAGTGTACCTCTCTAATGCCTCCATGCCTCAGGAGATGTTAGAAAAAGAGTTTTGTGTCCGGTTTGTTTCATCCTCACCACACGCTGCACCAATGGAGTTGATGAAATGGGTCACCAAATCTATCTGGTCAGTAATGATCTAACTACACTATAATCTTTATATCAAACACATCAAACACAGTGAAGCAGCAGATTTTGGTGTTATTACTTGGGACTGCCGGTATGACCAAGAAACTATGTTACTACTTTATATCTTTTTTGTTGCAGGAGACAACCCCATGCACGCCGAGGAATGTAGCCATTCAGGTCTCAAAAGATTGTTCAACAACTGCTTGCACTGGGCAAGCAGTTGCAGAAGCGTGAAGCTGGAAAGCCTGCTTTACCTGAATCTGAAGTGCGCCAGCAATTGGAACAGAAACCTGAAACATTACTGCACGATTCTACGCTTGACAACCATATTAGCCCATTGTCAGGCATGCCAGCTGTGGATATACATCAAGACACTCCCACGGAGATTTTGCACACTGTATTATTGGGGGTAGTAAAGTATTCTTGGGGACAAACAGTCTGGCTGCTTGATAAATCACACTTGCTAACTACTTTACAGACAGGGCTTGAATCCATCAGCAAGGACGGCCTTAATTCAGTACAACTTGGGGCAGAATACATATGTCGTTTCAAGAGCAGTCTCATTGGCAAACATTTCAAAAGTTTGGCCCAGGTAATGCTGTATATTATATATGACCTAGTTTCTCAAGATGTCCTGGATGCTTGGAGTGTCATTGGCAACTTGGTAATATTTTTGTAGCACACAAAAATAGATCACACTGAGAAGTATTTGGTGAATCCCATTACAATTTATTTGCAGGCTTAAACATAAACACTTACACAAAAAACCATAGGCTCAACTCTCGTGAACCATCGAAGACTTCTCAAATATCACAGCAAAATGCGCGCCAAGTATTCTGATCACACAACCAAAGTTTCATTTTCTCCTTCACTTACCAGCCTTCATACGCAGATTTGGTCCTGCTTTACTCTTCCCAACTGAATGATATAAATCATTCAACCATGTATTCCGCCTTTCTTCAGTTTACAGCAACTGCAAAGCTCCTAGCCGGGATAGCTGCCAATCCTTTGCATCACAAGATGCCATCAAACACATTGCTACAGGGGGGTACTGGTGTGACTCTGCAACTGGAAACTGGCTCAGTGCAGGTCATGTGATACAAAACTACATTGCTAACCACCCAGAGCAACAACGGCTATTGGGTCTTCATTCAAATACCAAGAAAGTAGCTGGTTCAGCCAGGTTTATTGCAACAGCACCAGGGAAACTGCCCGAGAGTATCCTCTGGCAATCAACACGCTCATCAAATATTTACATCAAGTGTCAATGTAGCACCACAGTCAATCAACCTAGGTTGTTGAAGGCATCAACATTCATCACACAGAATGGCGACGAAGCAAAACTTGGGAGCCATGTAGTCATCTCCTCACCGTCTAATGGAGCCAACCCCTGTGTTGGCAAAGTAGAAGAGATTCTTGTAACTGAGAAGAAGCCCAGAGTGGCCGCTTATATAGCCGTTACTTATCTAGAGTTCCAGCCCTTTTTATACAGCAAACTTCAAATACCTATCCTGCGGATTACAGAAGCACAGAACATTCTAACTGCTGAAGTAAGCTTATTGTGATCCTCGCTACTATTACACTGACCACCAGGAAGAACTTCGTGTGTACAGTTAATGTTCTCCATGACTGTATTACTGCAAACTGTAGCAACACTGCCATGGTGCCTGTGTATCAAGAATACAGCGAGACCACAAAAATTACCCAAGTGGTTGTGCACAAGCAATTTAATCAATATTTTTTAAATGTTTACTCACTACATAATTGTAAACACATTTATCTGGTAGTTCCCTCTCAACTTTGCACCAAAACTCCTCGGGTAAACAATGTTGAAGAGGTCTGACTTAATGCAGCAAAGCTTATACATGAAAAGAAGGCTGCTCAAGGTGTTGAAGAGCAAGACACAATTGGCTCTCTCGACAGTCAAGGAGTCGTAATACCAACACCGGCCTTTGATTGTACACCAAGTAGATGAGGAACTAAAAAAGGAAATAGTAATAGCAATAGGCTGCCAAAGAATAGTCGTGCAGTGCCCGTCTCTCCACAACTCAATTTGCCATTCCAGCCCATGCCCTCAAACATTCCATTCAGCTCTTGTTTCCATTGACACCACAATCTGTCCCACCTTCTCACCAGAATAACCATAGTCACAATCTGTATCCTCTCCTAACTTCTTTGCAACATCCTGGCCCATCTCACTACCAGCATGATCATAGTTACAATCCTTTGCCCATCCAGAACTCTACACCGGGTTCTGGTCCATCTCAGTTCTTGCACTATCGTCATCATCTTGTTTAATTGAGAATTTCTGGGAAGTGTCTAGCCACTTGCTGAGAGCTAACAGGGACAGAACTAGATTCCAGTATGAGTAACTAAAGAATAGGAATACTGGACTCTGCAATACTAGTCCGAAGTTTTGTAAACAACGGTAAACAAATCAGCCACAAAGGCGAAATTATAGAATGTTTAGTGAATACTGAACAATAGAGCAAAAAGAATAAAGAGGAAAGTGATTTAGAAAGACAGGAAAATAGATAGCACAACTAGGTGCAGAATCACCAAAACTAACACATCTTCCTTCTGTACCAAATTCACCTCTACAACCGAGTCATCTACACTACCAGCATCATCTTAATGCATATCCAGGACTGCATTCAACACTACAACATAGACTTTCTCATTTTCCGCATCATCAGCTGCCTGCACCAAATCCCTTGCCTGTGCCGAATCCCTATCTACACAGTAACCAGTCCCAAACAACTTCACTCCATTCATATTCACCATTCCAGCCTATGCCCCATTCTTATTATCACAACTCCAGCTAACACTTGCATGTTTCACCCTGTTAAGTATTATTTCTCTTATTGTTTGGGGGCCTCACAAGATGAATGCTTTGCTTGTCTCTGTGTTTGCGGAGACATGGAGCTTGAAGTGTATCGCTTATGTCTGAGTTTTTCCCAACCCTTTTTGAAGCTTTTTCGCTTGCCATTGTCCTCTGAGCTTGCTGTGTCACTGATCTTTTCTGGTATGGCAGGTCAATTGTCTTTTCTTGTACAATTCAAGCATCAACAGGTTACAGATGGGCTTGCAAGAAGAGGGGGGAGTTCTCCTCCAGACTCCCCATCAAACTTGGGTGACAACCTTTCACTGAGCCCTCCAAGGACTCCTGGGGCATTCCCAACTTGTTTGACTCGTCCCCAATCCGACTCAGCGGATGAGTTCAATCCAACCAGCATCAAGCGTCTCAAAGGGCTGGGAGTGGAGCTAAGCAAAAGTTACAAGCTCCCTCCACGCAGCTTAGATAATTTTGCAGAGGCAAGTAACCTTAGTAATTCTACGTTAATATTGATGGTGATAATTGTCTTTACAAGTTGGGAAGTACAGTAAAAATGTTACTCAACATAAAAGGCCATCTTCTGGCAATGGACACTATTGGTCGGGGGTCCTAACGAGACAAAGCTATGGAAATGTTGGACTCGGCTGATTTTAGGGTATATTTTTTCTTCTTTTAATTCAGGAAGATTTAATTGTTAACTACTTAGAAACTGTTGAATGACCGTCTACGAGCATGCTTGTTCTCTCCAAACCTCACAGCTTATGTGACAGATCTGGGAGACCACATTTTTGTGAGTGGATTTTGTAGAACTTTTTTTGGTTTCTAACGTCTTGGATAGGAATTTTTGGAGAAAAACCCGAATGTCTTCAAGTTCAAACAGGAATTCCTTCACGATCCCAAAATGTGAAGTAAACTGGCGTCATTAATTAAAGATTTACTGACATTGGCAAGAGGAAACATAAAACCAAAGGTCAGTATTTAATAAATGCGTAGTTAAACAAGGACTAATTCTATTTGATTCTAGCTAAGGACCAGCATCCAGAAGAAACAGGAAATTGCCACTTTGACAAAAGCACTCATTCTGCCGGGAATGATGGAGATAACTATGGCGCACCGGGTGAGGATTGCCTTCTTAGTAAGTCGCTCTCACATAGGTCACTACAGCACGCTCACTGATGTATAGTGTACCTCCCTGGTTGAGTTTCACAGGATTATTGCATCACAAGGCTCCAACCAAGACACTCCCCATGACCATGAAGAAGCCAGTAGTGACAATGGTGATGGCAACCAATTTGAAGGCAGAGCTACAACTCCAATGAGCAAGCGGGACATAGAAGAGACGGACAGCAAGACAAGGTTGCCCTGCTTATGGAAGGATTAACAATTCTGGGTATACGTCAACCAGTTGCTTGGGGGGGTTCAGGAACATGGAAAGAAGGGGACTAGTTCTACTGAGGAATGGGAAGATAATGTAAAAGAGTGAGTTGTTTAGCTGTTGTGTTTGTGTGACAGTGATTTCACCCTTGTTACAACTTCTTCACTGAAACTCTCCAAGTCAACATGGCAACCTATGCTGAGCCAGGGAGACTGGTCCCTCCGGTTGACACAGTGAGCATTGAATGGCAGAGGATGATTCATGCTCAGTTAATCTGGTGATCACGGTCTCCCCATTTGTTTGACTATTCTACTGTTCTTTTATCTCCCTTGTGTCTGCCATATTGTTATTTACAGTCATTTGTTTTGTTCTTTTGTTCAGTCATTCATGGCACTAACAGTAGTATCATATTGTCTCACTTGAGAATCTAATGTTATCATCATGTTCTTGCTATATGGTGTGAAACAGTCATTTTTATTTGACAATGTGGGATGAACACTTGTACAAAATATTGTCTGACAGCGGGTGCAGCAAGCAACACTGCAGATGCCTTTTCAATACCATCTTATGGTAAAGCAGGTGATGCTGCAAACACTTCACAAAGGGTTGAAACATTCTATGGGGGAAACCGTTGCTAAACGACTTCCCCAACTTATCACCACTTGTATTCTCTGCACATTAAACAGAGGCCCCAGAGATGTGGCTCTGACATTGGCTGTTACAATTAACGTACCAGTACCTACTTACACTTCACCTTTTCGTACTTTTACTTTTCTTTTCCAAAGTCACATGACTGATCAATTGGCCATGTACTTTACTTTACATTTTCGGACTTTTCATAAGTCACATGACCAATCATGTGACACATCACCTGATCAGTGTCTAGGCTCACCATGTGACTGGTCACATGCTAAACATTGGACTTTAAACTTTATTTACAACTGTACAGTACCTCATGTATTTTAGTATATATACAGGAGCAATACATGGGGAGGGACTTCCCACTCGTCTGGCTCAGCTTGCAGTTGCAAGGAACTGTTTCGATGTTTAAGTTATAGCTGAGTGCACAATGAGATCTGCTACAAAAATTCTTGTTGTGTCATGCAGAGTGGACACCTCCCACCTGCTCAGAGTTCATTCAGCCTAAGGTGAGCTGAACTAAGTTCAAAGCGCCAATGCTTGATACTCACCTAATCTAGCAGATTGAGACCAGGCCTTTGAACAGGCTGGAAACTGATAGAGTGAATCGCGGTGCACAGGCCAACCTGCAAGAGCAGAGAAGTAAGTATACTAACAATAGATTTGCTTAAACTATGTGGGTGATGAGGGTACATGTGCATATATCTGAAACAAAAATATCCAGGAGCGAGTTATGCAGCAACATACTACAAACAATAAAATGGAACCTATATTACTAGTACAAGCCCAGCTTAATACAGAACGGCAGCAACCCTCCTTAACAGTAAACAAGTTCCACTGGTACTCAAAATTAGTAAGTGAACATCTCAAGTATCATAACATTAATGGCGCACTCACTGGTACTGACAGCAAATCCTCCCAGCAAGACACAAATTTTGGTAAGTACTCTAAATCAGTAAGTGATTATCTCAAATCTTGTAATATCGGCAATATGCTCACTGGCACTAACAGCAGATCTGCTGACTCCCTGCAGCAAGTGTGACAACACCAACAAGATACAGTCTTGGGGCACTGGAGCACAATGAAAACAACACTCAAAAGAAGAGAAAGAGGTGGGATTGGTTACCCATTTGGTAGGAACAAGTTAGTTGTTGGTAGACAACAGGAGGACTCGCTGAGTCCTTCCCCATGTATTGCTCCTGTATATATACTAAAATACATGAGGTACTGTACATATGTAAATAAAGTTTAAAGTCCAATGTTTAGCATGTGACCAGTCACATGGTGAGCCTAGACACTGGTCAGGTGATGTGTCACATGACCGGTCATGTGACCAGTCACATAATGAGTCTAGACACTGGTCATGTGACTTGGAAAAAGTAAAAGTAAAAGTACGAAAAGTGAAGCGTAAGTAAGTACTGGTACGTCAATCACAACAGCAAGTAGGTCACAACATATGTTAAATTCCATCCCTAACTCCTCAACAATCCTAGTAACCCTACTGCGGCCAACACAAGCTTGCTCTAAACATCAAAAGGCACTATGGTGGTGAGCTGATTAAAAACTCAAGACACAACTAAATATAATCAGGCCCTACTAATCCACTGCGGCCCCCCACTTCCTCCTTTTCATCCAGGTCATGTTATCCCACAGCAACCCCAAACTCGTACTTCTTCCCAATTATGACTTTAACTCAAAATGATATCATTCCAGGAATTTGGCTCAGATGGTAAGTCTTCTGCATTACCAGAACCACTCCAATTGGGCTTGTTACTTGGACTTGTAATTCTATCAACTTACTTTAGATCTCCTCGGGCCACAATACAAAATGGATAACCCTACAAGTATAATTGATTTGCTGTGACTCAGGCCATTCTAGCAACGAGAAAAGATCTACTGGATATATCCCCGGCTTAGCCAGTTTTCAAGATTATTGCCACTTTGGGTGCATCAAGGACAGCACAGCTGGTAAACCATTTATACGGGCTGACTTTATGATGGGCAACCATACATTATATTAGTCCAACTATCACTTCACCAGTCACATTGGACAACCCAAAATTCATGTCCGAACCAGCACATATACCCCAAACCGCAGTCAATTCTACGCAATATGACTCGGTCAATCTCACTGGTATAATACCCACATCTGGCTTCCACCCAAACCTTTTTGATGAAGTCATCCAAAACCTTTGCAATTGTTGCAACAAGGAGCAGGTTCAAATCATAGCTGAAAATGTATTTGGCATAGGGTTTATACTTCCCCATGGTGAGCCCTGGAATTATCTCTTTCTATTTTATTTCTGATCATGGTGTATCAGAATACACACAGCTCCTTGCAGGTTTGACCTCAAACATAGTAGACCCAAGTCCGAATTCCGGGCTGTTAACATTGTGCGCAATGTAGATCTGCTATCTATTGCAGAATCTTTGTTAGATGCCAATGGTAACCCAGATGTTACGAGGGGGTTTAGCAATATTAATGGCCAGTGTCAACACTTTTTTGTTCCATTGCTAATGATTGACTGCATTCCAGACTTTTGCCCAACTAACCCCAAACTAGCACTCCAGGACCCACCATCTGCTAACAAACACCAAAATTTAGCGCAAGATTTGGCACAACATTGTCATAGAACTTTTACATGGAAATACTGGACACCTTTTGCAATATCATCAAAAATTCTGCTGCCACAGTTGCCTACAATCACACCTGCTACTTCCCCCGGATCTGCAAGCCCCACCACTGCACAGGCCACTCAACTTAACAAATGGCAGGCAATACTAGGTACGTCAATCCTAACTCTGTTACTCCCATCCCACGTATTGCTACAATAGCTAATTCTTGATCGTTAACAGATTGGGATTTGGGTAATTGGTATGAAGGAATCCTAGTAAACCCCCATGGTATGTCCCCAGCTTTAAAACAGGGTGCGCCATTATAGCTTATATTTGCTTCACACAGAAACAATACAATCACTGGTTATATTCCGGGATGTTTCCCCTGGATGGTATATCGTGCAAGTTACAGCGGTCAAATTTGTGAACCTCAGACTCACATACTATGTATGTTAAGAAGGGGGCTCTCCACAAGCTAATCAGTTCATCTATTGACAATAGCATTGCATGGCATGTGCAGAGAAATGGTTCAATTAATCTGGAAACTAACAGTAAGTCTATGGTCTATCTATACAAAGTTTGAAACTCACACGTAAAGCAGTATTTGTCCTGAGGTCTGATGTTGTTTGCAACCCAGGGTTGGAAGTATTCTGTCTCTTCTGTATCACACTGATGTCCAGGGTTCAGTATCTTGTCCATGGTGTATCCTATGTTGAACCCAGTGTTGTATTCCTTCAACTCAACCAGTCTACACGGGCTATAAAAACAGATTCTCACCAGCTGCTTCAATGGGATCCTAATATTGGGTATGGTATTTTCCATCAGCGTACCAATGCACCCGAGTTGAGTGACGCCCCTTCCTGCACCTGTTAGTGATCCCATCATTAACTCACAATCATTGCAGGTGCCAATGACAGGGACTATTGTATGCTATTTCAAGCGTCCTGCATTTCAACATCTACTAGACCAGATGTTTTTGAACCAGAAGTCAACACAATTCATGGAGTGGCATGAAGAGGCTGGAGACTGGCTTCCCCTCCATCATGTCACCAAAAAAACTGTTGCCAACCTTAGTGCAATGGTAAGTCATGTGCCTGTTGTATGGTTTGTTCTTTGCTGATAGTCTTGTTTACAGACAGCATTATATTTTGAGGAGTACACAAATGATACTCAAAGACCCTTTTTTCTCAATATTCTTACCAATAGAGGTTCTCAAAGATGTAGGGATTTTAGTGGGCACATTTTGAGATTTTTTGATAGTATTCTTCCTAACTCGCTGATTGAGAGATATTGTGCTGATCCAGATAACATTCCTGAGTCACCCCTTGCAGCTGCTTTATTGTTCCTCATTCATGGAGAATTTGAATATTATTAGCTTGTATGTCGCTTATCTTGGATCCACATTACATTTGTTTTCCTATGGGCAAGTGTCCTCCTACCTGTACAGTGACTCCAAAAACCCTTTCCATGTTGACTCTGGGTGTCATGCATGAAGCATACCATCAAATAGCTTGAGAGTTGTACTTAGCTTTGGTGGAGTTATAAATAGTACATACTCTTAGCTATAAAATTGCCCCATAGGTCATGTGATATGGTTCACATGCTATGGCTGATTCAAAACAGAAACACCGTGGAAAGGGTTTTTTCAGTTTTGAACTGATGAGTAGAACCTTAGTTAAAACATTGAATATTTGCCATTATATGTTGGTACAAACAAAAATATATATGCAATTGGTATGTATGGGCTTAAAAGAAAATTCACACACTTCTGATTCTCAACCACCATCATGGTCAAATCCCTCTCTTTTACTCAAAAAAGCTCTATCCTTTTATTGCTTGATGTTGGCTACTCTGGTGAAGCCATTGCCAAGCAGACTGGTGTTAGCCCTTCTACTATATCCAAACTTTGCTCCAAAGAGCATTCTACCCTACCTAAAAGCCATTCAAGGTCATCCTTTCAAGCTTTCCCCTACCAATATTTGGCATACCCAATGTCTTATTACCTATGGAAAAGCTGAAAATGCTGTTAAAGTGACCAAAGCCCTACCAGCATCATCAACTAGCCCCTTTCATCCAATACTGTTTGCCTTCATTTGAAGAAATCTGGTATAAAGGATGTGGTAAAGTCCAAACACCCCCTTCTCTCTACTAGGCATTACAAAGCTTGTTTGGATTTTGCCTATGCTCACAAGGATTGGACTCTGGAGGACTGGAAAAGAGTAATATGATATGCTGAGACTAAAATCAATTGCCTAGGGTCAGATGGAGACAAATAAGCATGGAAAAGGGTAAGTAAGGGGCTTAGTAATAAGCTGGTAGATGGAATTCTCAAGTTTGGAGGACATGCCTTAATGATGTGGTGCTGTATGACTTGGAAAGAAGTTGAATTTGCTACCAAGATTGATGGTAGGATTGATGGGGACCTTTACCTTCAAATTTTTGAGGATGAGCTCCAAAAAACCTTTGAGTATTATTATCTCAATCCTTATAAAAGTATCTTTTAGCAGGATAATAACCCCAAGCATATCTGCAGGAAGGTCAAGGACTAGCTAGAGGAACAAGCATTCAACACTATGGTTTGCCTTCACAGTCTCCTGACCTAAATTCTACTGAATATCTTAAGAGGAGGCTTGCAGGGTATGAAAACCCCCCCCATATGATTCATGAATTGTGGGAAAGGACTAAGTGGAGTAGGAGAAGATACGGAGTGTCAGAAATTAATTAAAAGTATGCCTAGAAAGATTCAGGCAGTGTTTAGGGAAAAAGAAGGCTATACCAAGTACTGATAATATCCAAATACCTGTTTCGATGCAAAAGTGAAAAAACCCTTTCCATGGTGTTGCTGTTTTAAATCAACCATATCACATGACCTATGGGGCAATTTTATAGCCAAGAGTATGTGCTATTTATAACTCCACCAGAGCTAAGTGCAATTTTCAAGCTATTTGATGTTATGCTTCATGCATGACACCCAGAGTCAATATGGAAAGGTTTTTTGAGGTCACTGTATTTACCCCTCTGGAGCAGCAAGGACCTTATGCCTGGTGAAAACATGTAATGCTCAGTTTGCTTTCCATTAAAAATACCAATTGTGCTAGCTTGCAGATGTTGCAGCAATTACCAGTTGGGATATTTGTTTAATATATTACTGATTAGCACCAACTTGAATTCCACCAAACACAAAGCTGAGCAATACATCTTCTGTTATAGTACCTGGACTTTTGAATATTATTGACAAGGCTTTTTGTCGGCAGGTAGTGTTGGAATTGTCAAGGTCAAAGCCTGGGCCTTGTTTGTGCAATTGAGTGTTGATATCCAAGAGCTAGTAGCTCAGTTGGTTAGAGCACACCATATATAGGCAGAGTCCCGGGTTCAATCCCCGGCTGATCCAGGTTTGATGAATAGGTCCTGTTTCTGTAAGCATTGAAGGACTTCTTGCACAATCCTATCATGTTCAGCCTCATTGTCTGACTTTGTAAATATTAATAAATTGTCAATGTAAATGATGACACAGTTTTCCATATCCGCAAAGATCTCATTGATTATGCTCTGAAAGGTTGCCGGTGAATTGGTCAACCAAAAGAACATGACAAGGGGTTCAAAGGATCCTCAGTGGCACATGAACATGGCTTTTCAAGCATCTTCTTCTTTGATGCATACATTATTGTACTCCCATCTGAGGTCCATCTTTGTTAAGATCTTGGCACTAGCCAATTTGTCTACTAGCTGACTGATCAAAGGCAGTGGATATGCATTTTTAACCATGTACTGATTTAAGTAACAATAGTCCATAATCATACACTTTTTACCATGCCAAACTCAGATCTTTGGATAAGATTGATGATGATGATGAGGTAAAACCTGAGGAAGAGATTAAGAGGCTGGTACCTCCAGAGTACCATGACTTCTAGAAAGTCTTTTCAAACATAAATCTGAATGCTTCCTAGAGGCTAAGCCTTGGGACCATGCTATATATTTGAAGGACAGCTTCAAACCACAAAAGGGACACATGATTATGATTCCTCTCTCTCTGCACCAGAAAGAAATGAGGTTTCTAGCTCCATAGATGAACAGCTTAGGAAGGATTATATCAGACTTTCCAAGAGCCCTATAATGTCTCTGGTGTTCTTCATTTCTAAAAAGGATAAATATGACCAGTGTTTATCCTTTTGTTAAGCTCAGTTCGATGGATGTGACTCAGCTTACCCAAGTTATTACACTCCTGAGGGCAATGTGACAATGTGACAACCCCTGTTTGCCAGTCAATCTCAGGATTTTGTTTAAATAGCCAGGTCCAGCCTAAGATTAAATTAATTTTCCCTAGTTGGGTAGCTTTGGCAGTGACTTGTTCCCTGTGTCCCTGATACTCAACAACAAAGGAACATTCGTGTGTAATGTAGCCACCTGTGTTAAGTGTACCGTTAATGTTATAGACAGGAATAGATACATCTAATTTTACAAAGGGGAGTCCGACTTGCTCTGCCCATACCCGATCTATGAAGATGCTGTTGACGCCTGAATCAAGCAGTGCACTGGTTAGGTGTATTATGCCCTGGGCAAGGTCTTCCACTCCAATATCTCTCTTTGGAATAAGTATGTTTGCATCAACATGCGCCTTGGGATTTGGTTGGAAAGTGGCTCCGGAGAAGAAGACGCAACATCAAAAGAAATATGTTTGTCTACTTTAGGTTTTTCTATATTTTTAATTTTAATTTCACCGGAATCAAGCACCCTAGTGTTTGTCTCGCCGGGGCCACACTCCTGGGGAGATACTAGTGCAGAGATAGTATCATAAATATTACAGTCATAATTCTTCATACAAGTACATCAGAAAGTAAATTTAGAAACTTATTTACAATTTGGGGAGCCACCCCCTTTCATTTATTGCTCTTACCACACTCCGGAGCAGGGGCTACCTTGTTGTGGTTTACTTCATTGTTCATAGGAGCAAAGGCACCCAATTGACCTAGGCTCTGAACTCTTTTCCCTTATCCTTCACCTTGTAAGGCAACGGTAAACTATGATAAACACAATACCCGTCTCCAACTGCACTTGCAGGGAGTAAGAGGTACAATGAGCTTGAGGTCAACAGATGCTAGCAAATATAGCAGGTAGAGGACTTGGGAATAAAATCAGAGGTTTCTGGTGAGGAGTAAAGCGGATATTTCAAGTAATATGTAGGGCTTATATAGCTAACCGTTTATCCCTCAGACCAAAAGAGGAATAAAAGAAAAGTGGTCTGAGGAAGAAATCAACCAATGAGAAAAAGAATAACTATTGTACGACTTTTAAAGATTAATCAGCAGGTGAGAGAATGTACTAATAATAAGTATTGTGACGCGTGTTCAGGAACCATATCCTCATGGTGAGGTATGATCCTGACTAAAGCATTTATTAATATCTCCAGGCACTGATGAGGCTTGGAGCTGGTGGGCGAGATCTCTACCACTGGCCCTTACCCATTGCATTGGCTGGCTGGGAGTGATACCCAGTCTCTGATCTGTGATACGAAGTGGTAACAATGGTTAAGAAAGCCTGTGAGGGCTATGAGAAGCAAGATAGCAAAAGATACCTCTAGCTCTAAAGCCAGAGGTGTAACAGGAAAAGTGTTTGAGAACCAAGACATGGAACAAGAAGATAATAAAATAATAAATGATCTTTACACATTTCAGCAACCTGCTGATCATAGAAAAAGGCCCAGAATTTGTTGTACAAATGACCGGCCAGAGTATTGAGCTAATCATCCAGCTTTTCTGTTTCTAATTGGCACGCCTGGCGCCCTTGGTTATTTTTTTGTTGGGCAGCCTGGGCCCCATTTCTACAGTCTGGGGACATGTATCCCTCTTGGCTGCAATTGTAGCAGTTCCCTTTGAATCTGTGCATCTTTCCGCCTTGGACCACACCAATATCCATAAAGGCTCCCTGCCCTGGTTGCAGCCCAAACAGCTTGAACCTGTGAGAATGATTGTTATTTTGGTCTGATAACCCAGGGTGCCTCTGTGAAGTGTTGTTTTTGGTGGTGGACCCGCCACCAAATTGCATTTTGTAGAGCTCTATAGCCCTACCTACTTTGCAAACCTCTTCTGCTGCTTGTGAGAGGTTCTCGTTTCTCATATCTTGCAGATAAAGCTGTTCTGCAATGTGGGGGTTCACATTATGTTCTAGCAGCTCCACTGCGTGTTCATTACCTAGACCCCCTTGGATGGAGAGGGGAACCAGGTTACAAAATCATCTGTCCTCATGTTTCCTTGCTTGAAGGAACAGATTTGCTGATGCGCCCAGTCACTCTCAGTTTGGGGTTTGTCTGAAGTTCAGTGAGCTGTGTGGTAAATGTCAAAATCTGTGCACGCATGTTGTGCAACAAAGTGTTAATGTCGGGTTGATTGGTTTGGAATGACATGTTGACTTGTTCTCTTGGGTAAAGTATAAAAAAAAGGTAACTGGGGGTCCCCGCTCACCTCAGGCACCCCCAAGAGCCTAGCATTTAGGTTGATCACCCACTGTACATCTATCCACCTAAGAGGTGGATTTTTCCTAGTCTATCCCACAATTTTTACCTCAGGGATTATCCCAAAAATCATATAAATGATACATCCCACTGTTTGGGATGGTCCCAGTGGGATGATCCCGGTACATAAGTGGATCCAATGACCACCACATCATACTCTGCTTTTACAAAATGGACAATATTATTACAATAAGCTATATACACAAGATTTCTGAGGGGGCTGCTAGCAATTAAGCTATATTTACATAATGTAAAGGCAGGTTATTCTGAGATATCTTGCTGGACAAAGCTTCATAATCATAATTATAAAAAAATACTACAATATCATTATAAAAACAAAACCTGCAAAATACAAAGATTCTCTTTAATAAAATATTAACTAGACATCTTCAGCTTCCATCAGGTTACCATTTTATAATGGTACAGTTTATTTAGAATGTTCACTCGGAACAGCATAAGGGGTTCCTGGACAGTATTGGTGTATTGCATATAAAGATATAGTAGTTGAAAATGTGTGAGATTAAGACTGATCTAGGACCATCCCACCCCACATATGGGACATCCCATGACCTCTGTGGGATCATCCCAATTCACATATGGGACCATCCCAGCTCATATATGGGACACCCCATGATCTCTGTGTGACCATCCCACCCCACACATCTCATCACCACCATAGGACCTATTTGGGTGTATAAGAGATGCTATGCATAGAATTTAATGCCCCAAGGACATCTCCATAGCCCATAGCCCACTACATGTTCATGGCACAGAGTGATATAATCCAATCCACCATAACTGCCATGATCTACATTGAGAACAAAAAAATGACCACTTATACATAAAAATAGTGTAGACATATTTACAGGAGGGTCCAGAGCACCTGCAGCATTACAACCATAGGTTCACTAGGGTTGGGCTGTAGCCATTCTTTACACTGGTTCCATGGACACACCTCATCTGACCATTAGTACTCCCCACTCTGCATTTGCAGGCCTTCTCTCTTTATTATCCCAGATATATCATCAGCATTACAGACATTTTATCACTATTACTCACATTTTCTTGCAGTGGCCATACAGCCACACTGGTATTTCAGCCAGTCTGAGATTGAAGTTGCTGAGAGAGACTGGTCAAATATTTCATCCTTGGGCCTGTTTACCTGGATTAGCCTGTAATTTCACTAATGTCCATATTTAACCCACACACAGAGTTTTATTATCCACTACTGTATTCTGGAACTATTTTGTTTTGGTAACATTGTTCACCTTTCTGAAGTCATTTTTCTTTATTTCAACATTCTGAGAGTATTTCCCTTTTGGTTGCAAATATATATATCAATCATGATTAGGCTTAAAGCTATACAGTACTTTGTCTCCCCTTTTTTGGAGATTCTCTCTGCTTTAAACTTAATATTAATCTTTTCAGAGATAATGGTTTCCTCCACTTTTTATTTATACAACATAATGATAAAACTCACAAGGGTTAGTATCTTATGTCCAGACAGCTGGAAGTACTTTAAGTCTCTATATGACTTTTGGATTCATCATTTAAAAATACAGTAGACCTGCATTCAAAGTAAAAAGGGGTAAGTGAAGGACAGGGTGATCTCCCTTAGGGTAGGACTGAGTTTGTTATGGGTAAATAATAGGAGGACTTGCTGAGGAGTCTCCTTGATCTATTAGGGTATTTATACTACTACAGACTATTTGTACATGTGTACTATACAGTTGATGAAGGTAGTGGCTAATGATGATATAGGGTGCAGCCCATGTGACCAGCTCCACTGCGTGAGAGACTTGTAGCTAAAAATAAAGAAAAGGCAGCGCAGCGCAAGAAAGAGGAGTTTGGACAAATTGGAAAGTGCCGCATGACACAGTGTGAAAATATGAAAGAAAGTTAAAGTGGAGAATGAGATTTAAAGGTCCAAAAAATGTGTATTGTAACATGGACAAACTACATAAAATCAACGGAAAAGAGGGAAAAGAGAAGGAGGTGTTCAGATGGGATGGAACAAATCAGTGTATTGATAAGAGGGGTTTCAAGGAAGACACTCCGGATGACAACCATGTTACTAACCCAGCCTTTGACTCAGACACAAGATCTAATTCTGAGTCCAACTTTTAGTGACCCTGTTTGTAGCTAATGATATTGTTTTGCAATGCTGAGGGTTTGAATGTACGGCCAACCATGTAGATGTTTCACCATATACAGCAGACAGCTGAAAAAAAAATTGACAGCATCAAGTGCATCACCTGGATTTGAGCCAATGCCAGACCCGGTGCACAGGTGACACAAACAAGGTAGACATGATCTGGGTTCAAACCAACTACTAAATCTAAGTGAAACTCAGCCGTTGCATAAGAGGCTATAGAAACAACTGAGGTATTCCTATACTAAACCCTGTACTACTTATAGTCGGAGATGCTACTCGCTACAGTATAATGACTCCTGGGAGAACAATGGTGACTCCATAAAGCAGCCATTATGCTCCATGGAGAACAATGGCTGCTTTAGCAGAGACCGTGTTTATCCAGTTTTGTCACTCCCACTTGAGTGCAACTGTAGTCCCATAGCTTTAGAGAATTTCCAGTGTTTTTTGTGAGTGAGGGGTTTAGTGAGAATGTTGGCAACCATATCTCCTGTAGGAACATATCTGATTACTGCC